TCTTTACTATCAGTGTCTTGCAAAGAAGGATTTTCCATTTGTGAAATACTGTGTAAGTCACTTTCTTCTAATAATGCATCAGCTGTTCTAGCAAAACTTCTAGAGTTCATTAATAAATACTGACGTCGTTTTTTACGCCATCTTGGCCTGGGATAAGTGTATATTTGACCAGGATTTAATCCAGGCATCCTTTGTCTCTTTGGCAAGTATAAATTGGAATGATTCTGAGCTACTCCAGTTTGGTTATCCAAAAACGGTAGACGCAATCGCCGTTCAATACACAGCCTAGTGTTATAATTTGCTGAATTTTCAATCATTTCTTTATAAGCAGGATCATTGAGGAAACTAAAACATCATTATCGTTTATATTACCTCTTTTCTTCTTACTATTATTTATTTATGCCAGTACTGCTTACAAGAGATGTAAAATTAAATAATATATTCCTACCTTTCTATTTTTTCCAGATTACTTAAATTTAATGTTGGAAGTGAATCTGCCATTTTTACTTCTTCTTTTAACATTTTTCCCTCCTGCTTTAAAGAATAGCTGCAGTACTAAAAACTCCACACTACATCTTCGGTTTGCAAAATGAATAAATTATCACGATTATCACTTTTTATTTAACACATCACGCATATCACATTCAGCTTTTGTTATACTTTTTCATCATGATTCCATCAGTTTCTTTTAAAACGGCATTCCTTGAGACCCTCAAAACCATTTCCACCATAGATAAATTAATTTCATAGTATCGTTTTACAGATTAATTTCCATTACGCATGTGCGAAGCGAGTGGTTAAGGTATATCACACGTTAGATAAACCAAAATAAAATTGTCCAAAATTTTAAAGGCCCTTTAAAATCTATAAAAAAAGCTTTTTATTTTTTTAAACATTCTTAATTTATTCAAAATTAAGATCAAACTATTGCGAAAAGCTAAGCGCATCAATAAAAAATAGACTTTTAGTTTTATTAAAGTGTATACCACAGAAAATTGCTATGTGTATAGGTTTTAACCATAGATAATAGCTTTACCAAAGTTTTACCTTTTACCATTTTTTATGTTATCAAAATGATAAGTATAGCATAGGTCTAATTGTTGCAAAAACTGTAAAAAAATGTTATAGAAGTGTAATTATTACCAAAAACATAGCAAATTATACTATAATTTTATTTATTAAGAAATATGCAACAGTAATTTCCTTAATTTTAATTGAAATGTGTTCATGGAGAAATAATGAAAGTGAATTGCGTATATTTACTATTTATTATTGTGAGTGCACGAATCAGTCAATGTACACGTATAAAGGGAAAGTTCAAAACAGATGAATTCTTTAAATTTCTAATTAAATTTGGGTTTCAAAAAACTGATAGACATGAAAAAGATATTACCCATGGATTTATTTTTGGAAATATCACTTCTAATCAGCATTTTCCCATGCCAGTCACATTATCTGTTTTGGATAAGTATTATTTTAAAAATTATTATGAAAATAGAGTCATTTTTGACAGAAAAGAGGCATGCAAACGAATGTTTAACAAACTGAAAACTAAAGCATTTCATCCTAAATGTAGTCCTAAAGGTAACGACTTTTTGAGAAAAGTACCATGTCCTACTGGACAACTCTGTGTAGATGAAGATTTACCATCAGGGGTCATAAGAGGTCATCAATTTACTTATGTTATAGAAGACTTGATTGAACCCTCGTAAGTACTATTTGCCTAAAAGTATATTTTTTGATTATTAATGTAATTTTTAGCTTCTGGTTTTTATCATTAGTTGCATGTTATCAAAATGAAACAACTTGTGAATGGGAGGACTTTTCTAGAAAAGATTTGCACTATGAACTGGAATATGATATTTGGTTGGTTAATGGAAATCCCAATTTTTCTTCAATAAATGATCTGACATATCAATTTTCATTTGATCATCAAAATACAATAGAATTTTACATATTATTTTGGTTGGTCTACATGGTATTAGTTCCCCTTCAGTTGTATGCTGTTCGCATTCAAAAACACCCTGTTACTAGACTTTTCACTGCAAGTCTTTTGTTAGATTTTATAGCACTTTGTTTAATACTTGTCGACAAACTGAAATTTGCTCTAGATGGAGTTGGATTTCCCAAAGTCTGCATGGCTGGGGATATCTTTGACATATTCTCTAGGGTATGAAGTGTTTTCTGTTTTTGTTGTATTATGCATGCATAATCTTATTTAGTTTATTTTCCATTAAAAAACACATTAAACAGTTACATAATTTAATTGGCTTTCCCTTATAGTTTTCATAATTATTATACTTGGATTTGTTTTTTAGACATTGTTTATGCTCTTGCTATTGCTGTTAGCAAAAGGTTGGGCTGTCACACGTTTAGAGTTGACCTGGAAACCTCTTGTTTTTGCTGTTTGGATATGTTATGGTATTGTGCATATTTTATTGTATGTTTGGAACTTGGTAAGTTTTTAATATTTGCTTTTCTATTTATTTAACATTAATTTCATGTATGAAATATATATAATTTCAAAAAAAATACACCATTAATAAATAAAATCATACGTAAATTATATATTATATTTCAGACAGAAGTTGATGTTATAGAAGATATTGATGAATATCAGACATGGCCTGGCTGGCTTATGATCGTATTTAGAACCCTCATTATGTTCTGGTTTTTATATGAACTTAGGACAACAATGCTTTATGAGCATAACATGAAGAAGCTCAATTTTCTGCTCCATTTTGGCGCTTCAAGTCTTGTATGGTTCATATACTTACCTATTTTGGCTGTCATAGCTCTACATATTTCTGCCTTGTGGAGATATAAGTTAATTATCGGTAAATCTACATTTACTGCATTTATATTACAATAGTTATTTTATTCTTAAAATGCCTTCTTTTAGGAATAACTTATTCTGCAGATTGTTTTGCATACTGTGTAATGGCCCATTTATTGTGGCCAACAAGGTCAGAGCAATATTTTCTGTTAGCAGGAGCCTCTTCATCTGAACTGGAAGAACTAGATCAGTTCAATGAAGCCCCGCACGTTCTAAATAGTTCATATACCTCTTTGAGCAGTATGAGTTCGCTAGATATATGCCGTTTTGATGAGCCAATAAAAAACAAAGTCAATACGTAAAAGTGAAAAGAATTGGTTAAAATTTTACTTGCAATAATACTGATACAGCAATGCTTTTACATCTTCAGTATTTGACTGATTTTTGTATCTTTTATAAATTGTAAACACAGCTGTTATAGATTTTAATTTAATTTGTAATAAAATTGTATTATTTTTGAAATTAAAATTTTAAAATATTCCATTTAGGTATGTGTAGTTGTTAATTGAGAAAACTAGTCACAATTTAAGAATGACCATTTTTGAAAAGGTATTTCCAAAACTATCAGAATTGTAAGAGCGACATTACTCTATATATTTACTGTAAAATACATTACAATGAACACTAATAAAATTAGTCTACTACTCACAATTTAAAACATGTAGTAGTAAATATGTATTTGCAAGGGTATTAAGTCTTTAATAGTTTGCAAATGGCTGTAACTATTTTAGCACTATTAATTTTTCAATACTACCTATGACAAACCTTTTTTTTTGTTGTACTCTTCCATGCACTTTTTAAACTCTGTAACTTCTCCTTGGCATTTTCTCCAATCTCTCATTTCTGCAATACATTCCTATAACAGAAGAATGATAATTTGTAAATAAAAAAATCTTCAAAAAAGCTACTTACCTGTACTTTATAATGTAATTTAATACAACCGGTTCGTTCTAGCATTTTTTCTACCGGATCTACAATTTCATCAACTGTTTTTGTTGTCATTCTGTAGTATTATTAAATTATAAACAAAATAAATTGTTATTTATTGTTAAGAAGTTGATAAAACATTTTGGTTATGTTCATAGATGAGGTTATGAGCAATCATTTGTTTTTCTTTTTCTTCGTTAGTTACCTTTTTGAAAGTTTGAATTAATATTATAAAGTAAGCTTACAGGAATACCCCTACGCTATATGTAAAATATTTGATCAATGACTACCGAAACATTAAACTATTTAGAATTAAACAAAACATGATTACACCAAAGTAGAAGTAGTTTTGCTGGTAGCTTAAAAATTAAAAAAGGTCTTTATATTCCGTGACTGTAAATTTGTTTAACTCTAGTAAGGCTAATGTTTTTCGTAAAATTTCTATATTTTTTGGCGTGAATACATCTTACACGACTAGTGTCCACCATGGACGTGTCAAAGTATCTTGCTACCCTTTTTTAAAGGAACTTGTAGTATTTAATCGATCACTTTATAGTAGCTTAAATAACTACATACTGTTGGTATTTGGTCGTGTATAGAGCCTCTTGTACATCATTCAATTACCTAATTTTGAGTAAGAAGTAGTCACCTGTGTAATAACACACTTTTTTTCTGACTGATTTTGAGTATATATCTGAATTGTTTTTTAAAATACATAAGTATAATAATCGAAATTAATAGCGTACAAAAAAAGCATTTACAACGCAATGTAAATTTAAGATAAAAGTAATAATTACCATTAGATTTGCTTATGACCATGTCTCTGCCTTTATAATTTTGTCTAACATTTTAATATCTTCTTGAAGACTGTCATCTGCTTCTTCATTGTTTAACTGCTCTATGTTGCTATAAGTTTCATAATCACCCTCTTCATTGATGTAATGGGTACAGTTATCGTCTACTATATCTTCGCTTTTTGTGTAGACAATATTAAATACGCCAGTCTCATTTTTAATATATGTAACATGTTTTGCAGTTCTAGACGTATCAAGTATTTTTTGTTTTTCTTCTGTGTGAATCATAGCTTCAACAGTTGGATCAACCTTTACCATTTTTGGCTCAATTTGTGATGTAATCGTTGCAGGAACAGAAGATTTTCTTTTTGATGGAAACGTTTTTAAACAGGTAGCGGGATATATTTTAAATGAGGTTGAAGCTGTTTCTGAATCTGGATCATCCACACTTTCCTCTTCAAGTTGCGCTTGGTACTTTTGTAACTTGCGTGCTTCGTTCATCTTAGCAATCTTAAGATAACTTTTTCTCGGCCTTCCTTTTCTCACCGTTAGCTTTTGTTCTATAACGTCTTCGGCATTATTTGAAACTAATACTTGACTAACGCAACCATTTGGTCCCGAAAGGGACATAATAGAGGGCCATCTGAATAATGAATAAAATCTGCGCATAAATGTTTGTCGTTCTTCGAACACTTTGGCCCTAACATCTGGCATCATTGAATTCAGTTCTTTTACCAAATTTCTTTTTATATAATCGCTCGATCTCGCTTTTTCTATAGCAACTTCGAATAAGTTGCAATTTAATTGATCGTTGTCGATTTGCGATTTAAACGTTTGGTGCTTAATGAGAAGGCTTCGTAGACCTATTAAAGTGTGTATGTTTGGACAAATTACAATTTGTGTATCAATAGGAGCAATTGTGAAATTGGATGTGCTAGGTGTTGAGTCTTCTATTATGTAGGTTAACAGTTTTTTATCCAGATTACTCAAGCGATTATCTGTTTCTATAGATTCTTTATCTAAGTGATTAAAAAATGTTGCTCCTAATAAGTCTAAAACTGTCTTAATAACCCCTGCGCAATTTTTTATATTCGTTTCAGAAATTGAATGATTAGAGGGTTGAATTTTGTGAGATGCCTTAAAAAATTCCCGCAGTTTTGTATCGACGACGTCAAATTGGGTAATACTACCCACTTTACTTCTTAAAGGTAGTTTCCTTTGCAATCGTTCTTCTTCTACGTATCTTTCAATTTCATCTAGTGATGGAATGTAATCAAGTTTAACAACACGTTCGAAAACTCTATCAGCTACATGATGTTGTCTTAATTTTAAAAATTGGTTTTGAACATTTCGCCTGGGGCAATCTTTAATATCTTTTTCAGGATATTGTGTACGCCACTTCTCTATAACGGAATATCGGTGTCTTACGTTTGCTCTTGACCGATTTAAGGCTTGCGCTATAAGACTCCAATTTTTACCATGTTTTTTAACTAAATTAACAGTTTTTATATCTTCTTCGACGGTAAATTGGCGAATCGTAATGAAACGATCCAAATAATACTTGTATCTGTTCCGAATTTGTACATTAGTTCTATGCTGTATAAATTTGGAACATTGTGAGAAACTTTTTTTATATTTTTTTACCAGCAGTTTTAATAAAACATCCTCAGCTTCAGTGAAAATTCCTTTTTTAACGTTATCTCTCTGTAAAAAGTACCGATATCTGTGGTACAACTGAGATCTTGAACGCCCTTTAAAATACATGGACAAATTTCCCCATGGAATAATATTGCCAACTCTATATTTTTCTATTAATTTCAGAAGTAACAAATCTTCTTTAGGTTCGAAACGGGCCCTTCTAATTTTTTCACTTAAAACTGAATGATAATGAAGGTACGTTGTAAAGCCTGATCTTCCAGTGCCTAGTTCTTCCGCAATTCTCTCCCAGTCCTGGTAATTGTATTGTGTAGCGATCTTTTTAAGTTTTTCATCTTCTTCATCTGTCCAAGAACCCCTGTAAATGCTGGGGTGCAAGTAAATGTTCCAAAAAGCACGACATTCACTTGCTGTGTGTTTTCCTGAAAATAAATATTATATAATGGCGATTTTATTAACTTTGANTGCATGCAATACAATCACAATCAGGAGGATGCTTATGAACTCCAAGAGTTTCTTTTAGTAAATTTTCTTTACACAAACAGTCTATGCAGGTACAACCGAATGGATGTGAAGATGGCATACGGCTAGCCTTTTCTATTATTTTTAAATCGTTACATATAGGACATTTACATTCAGCTGTACAAGTACAGTCGCCAGCTCCTTGTATATATAAAATTTATCATTATAAACCTGACATACCATTAAAATCATCACTGGCTATTAATTCCCAATCAATACAATCGCTACATCCAAGAGGAGGTGGATCATATGTTGTTTTCTTTGTAAACTCATTTATTTCTTTTTCACAAGAAGCCACGTCATTTTGTATGGCTGCTTTTACTTCACCTTCCGCAGTTCTGTATTTAATCTTTAAGAGACGATAATTTTGTTGTAGGGCCTTCAATTTATACTCAAAGAATTTAAAGGCAACCACACTCTTTAAAGTAGCTTGTTCTTGTGTAGACCATCTTCTAATTGGACGTAAGTGGTAAATAAACAATTCTTTGTTTTTCTTCTTCCTTTGTACATCAGGATTAGAAGGAGCACTGAAGAAATTTTCATCCTTGAAATACGGAATTCCTAATTTCCATGTGTATGTTTGTGCTATTTTTCTAATTTTTGAATTTTCTTCCATTATTTTTGTTTCTTCACTAATTCGTTTTTGACATTCAATTAATAATAAATAAAGTTTTTCTGCAAAATCACGCAATTTCTTGTTCTTTGTTCTGTTTAAAATCATTAGTTTTTTTACTGCCAAGTCTTTGCAATCATGAATTAATTCTTCTTCTTTAATAGGATGTGACTCTTCGAAATTCCCTTGGTAGTTATTAAAATGCTTTTCATAGTCTTGTACATCTTGTTCCACTTCTTCAAGGTAACATTCATCTTGGCTCTAAAATATTTCAACAAGAAATACATTATGTTAGAAATAAAACCAACATTACTTACTGCTTCATCCTCACTAGCTTCACCCAAGAAACTAGAAAATTCTGGTTCATTGTGCTGCAAAAAAATATTGGTTTTAGTTCTTTACTAACTGTAATCACAAAAATTGTTTCTAATGTTGCTTTACCTGGGAATTCTCAGATTTTAGTAAAGATTCCAATTTCTGTATATCTTCTAATTCATCCATGACAATTTCGCTACTAAAGAGAAACTTAAAACTTACACCGTGATACCTACTGAAGTATTTAACACAAAAATGGGGAATTTAAAAAATAACAGTGCTGGTATTGATAAGACATTCGTGTCTTTTTACTTACATTTTCTATTTGTAACATTTTTAAACTTCCTAACCTGTTTAGATAAATCACCACAACAAATAAAATCGATATGAAACAGTCATGGAGTCGTAGAGATCTACGGTCATAGATAGAAACTAGCAAACTGCCGAAAACTAGCTATAGTCGTATCAGTGAAGCTTATACTTATATTATTATTATATAGTTAGGTTGACTTCATTTTGATATGACGTAAAAATAGTAAACGATTTAAGAAATTTTGAAACTCAAATATCAAATATGAAAGTAACTTTTATTCTCAATTTTATTGCAATTTTTTTAACGGTATGCAAATAAGGGTACATTTTTAAAAATAAAATGAAAAGAGAAATCATTTGTAGATATAATAATAAATAACACATATTTTACGGGAAAAGAAACCGCGGTTTGTTTAATAAAATATTATTTTAAATTACTGGATATTTTGTTTTCATATTATTTTACACAATATTTTTTCCCTTTCATTAAATCACAATTAGGTACTTCAAATACGGCTTTCGCTGGTGGTTCCAAATGACCACCATAATAAGTTGCATACACTTTTATATCAAGATCTGAATCAAACGTTAGGGACGTTAATACTGCTGCAGTTCGAAATTTCGTATACACACGTGATTTGGAGACTCCATTAACAAATATTTCGTATCCGGTTGTTTCATTTAGCGCACATTCAGTCCATTTGATAAGAAGACTGTCTGAAGAAATTCTTTTAATATCTGTCACTTCTATTGTTTCGGCTGTAGGCATTTTTAATGTTAGTATTTCGGGTTCTAGGTGTTCACTTGAACATGGACATTCTGATCGTTTTGTTTCATAACCGAAAGATCTTTTCAAATAATTTTCTGTACAAGTGCATCCAGCTGGATGACCAGGGTAAGGACACTGAGACCGAACCTTTATGCTAGTCACAATTTCATTGTTTCTCCCAAATTCTCCTTCAATGTCTTCAGTAGTAATTTCCCTTTCTCCCTCACATAAACAATGCACACAATCGCAATTGTCTGGATGAGATTCGTTCGAATGACATGATGAATCAAGTTTACATAAACATTCTAAACAATCGCAGTTAAATCCATGTATGTGAGGTTGGGAAGATTTGGATTTACTTTTATCTGGTTTTCTTGCTATACGACTTTCAAATGTTTCGCATATACACTCCAAGCAGTCACATCCAGGCTTATGGTCACACGGTGTTTCGACTGCAAAATCACCTGCACTTTTAACAATCTGAAGCTCCAATTCTGTTTCTTTCTTGCCTATATCTAAATATTTGCATGTATCGCCTACACCCGTTTCTTCTGGAACGTCAATTCCTTTGGAGCATATACAGTCAATGCAATCACAATTCTCGGGATGTTCCGCGAACTTCACACTGATCTTACAAATTAATTCGTTTGTTGCATTAGTTGGCGAACAGATGCACTGCAAACATTCACAATCGGGAGGATGACATTGCTTTTTGCTTTTGTCCGGATCGCCTGGGCCACATATGCATGCAATACAATCACAATCAGGAGGATGCTTATGAACTCCAAGAGTTTCTTTTAGTAAATTTTCTTTACACAAACAGTCTATGCAGGTACAACCGAATGGATGTGAAGATGGCATACGGCTAGCCTTTTCTATTATTTTTAAATCGTTACATATAGGACATTTACATTCAGCTGTACAAGTACAGTCGCCAGCTCCTAACACACCGGCTTCTATATTTAAACACTCTTCACAAGTACATTCGCCTGTTTCGTCTTCATGATGTATTGATATGTCATCTTCCACATAATCTGCAGTTCCCTCTCCACCAATTTGCATTCCATCTGGTGCTTCACCCCTTTCGTCTTCTATTGTTTCTCTATCCCATTGTCTTTCAACGTCTTCTCTTTCTTTGCCCGGCCTATCGTCATCCCATTCATTCTCACCCCCTCTTGTATCTTGTGAATATTCTCCCCTTTCATCTCCTCTCCATTCTTTTTCATATTCCCCGCCTATATCTTTATCAAGTTTTCCAGCCCCAGTTTCCCAAGCATCGACATCGCCTTCCCTTTCCTTGCCAGGTTTTCCTTCACCGCTTTCCCATTCTTCCCCAGCCGTTTCTCCTCCCAAGCGAGTTCCTTTTTCACCGCTTTCCCATACATCATCATCTCTTTCTCTTCCTCCACCAGGTTTTCCTTCACTACTTTCCAATCCTTCTGCGCCTCTCCCTCTGTCTATACCAACTCCTTCATCGCCACCTTTCCAACCGTCCTCACCTGCTTTTCCACCTGCTTTTCCTTCACTACTTTCCCATCCTTCTGCGCCTCTCCCTCTGTCTGTACCAACTCCGTCATCGCCACCTTTCCAACCGTCCTTACCTGCTTTTCCAGCTGCACCAGTCTCTCTTTCGCCATCTTCCCATCCCTTTTCACCTTTTTCTGCGTCTCTGACAGGTCTTTCTTCATCAGCTGCCCATTGATCTTCACCTTCTCTCTTACCGAAGCTTTCCCCATGTTCATCTAATCTGTCTATATCTTCTCTTCCTTGGCCGGGTTTTTCTTCTCCATATGCCCCTTCCTCTTCGTCTCCTTTCCAGGGTTTGCCCGTTTCTTCTCCACTTTCTGTTCCATGTACAATGCCAGATTCTCCAACGACATCACCCTCATCTTCTTGTACAGCCTTTTCACTTGTTTCTGATTCACCCAACGGACTACTAGATTTTCTGGCCATTACCATTGCTAGAGCACTTTCTACATCTCGGTTTGCTTTTTCCATTGCATCAGTGACACTTTGATTTGCTCTGCTCAAGGCATCCATAACTTCTTGGTTTGCTCTATTTAAAGCATCGGCAACGTCTCTTGCTATTTCGTCAGTGTCTTCTTGACCACCTCCTTCAAAAGGTTCGGTTATATCTGCGTACAACTCACTTTCTCGAGCTCTAGTAAGACATTCTTCTTTAACTGGACATTCATATTCAGTTATTTCTGTTTTAACATCTATATTTCCAGATGGTGTGTATGTCATAGATGTTTCTATTACACCATCAGGTCCTTCTGTAATAATTTCAATTGTTCCTGAGTCAGCAACAGCTGTTGTAATGCTGTAATCATCAGGTCCTATTTCACCAGGTCTTGTAACATCGTGAGAAGACTGAAAAGGCAAAAATTGATCTCGAATTTGTGATATTACATCCTGGCACGCTTGTGTGGACACAATACATGATACTGGTGGACATTCTTCACTGCTAGAAGATTCAATTCGATCTTCACCCACGCATACGCATGTTTTTGAATCATCTTTTCTTCGTTCCTTTTTCTTTTGTTTTTCCTTTATTTCCTGTGGGGCACAACTGCATGGTTCTATGGATGATAACAGTTTTAAAATGTCGTCCATGTCAGTGCATGTACCCTTCTCTAAGCATTTCGAACTTTCTAACGTATCTGGAGAAACTTTTTCAGAACCTTTTACTTGATCTTTTTCATCTATAAATCTTTCGCCGCCCATTCGTCCTTGTTTACCATCTTCTTCTAACCTTTCTTCGTCAATGGTTTCTAAAATTCCTTTTGCTGTTTTTTCGACTTCTGCACTTTCCCTTTCTTCTGTGATTCCTGAACAAATGCAGTCAACGCATTCGCACCCGGGGGGATGTTCTTCTTCTATGTTTCTTCCCTCTTCAGAGTAAACAGAATGCTTTGTGGAAATACTTTCTCCACTTTCTGTTTTGCCTGTAGCATCAGCTAGTTCATCTTCAGCAGTACTTATCTGTTCTTCATAAAAATTTGAATCAGCTTCTGACAAATTTCTGTCGTCATCATAAAAACTTGAACCGTCTTCAGTATCACTTGGTTTAGTTTTATCATAATCTGCGCCACTTTCATCGACACTTGCGTCTTCCAAGTAACCTGGACCACCGCTGGTATAACTGGGAGCGCTTTCTGCATAACTTTCACTTGCACCAATGACATTCGGAGTATCTCCAACATCCGCACTTGCGCCAACATAATCAGAAGCACCTTCAGTAGGTCCTCCACCTGCGCCAGTAAAATCGGATTCACCTTCTCCACGATCGGGTCTTATACCAGTATCAGCAGGGCCACCTTCAGCAAAACTTGCACCTGTACCTTCTCTGTAGTCGGCTGCTGGACCACCATAGCCAGCTTGACCAGTTCTATCTTCTGCACCTGCACCAGCAGAATAAGATGCACCTTCCCCGATTCCTGCACCAGCAGAATCAGATGCACCTCCCCCGATTCCTGCACCCGTACCACCAGGACCACCTTCGGCATAACTTGCACCAGCACCACCAGGACCACCTTCGGCATAACTTGCACCTGTACCACCAGGACCACCTTCGGCATAACTTGCACCTGCACCACCAGGACCACCTTCGGCATAACTTGCACCTGCACCACCAGGACCACCTTCGGCATAACTTGCACCTGTACCACCAGGACCACCTTCGGCATAACTTGCACCTGTACCGGCGTAACCACTTGCATCCGCTGAAGGTTGAAGGCCTGAGCCAATGAAATCTGAAGTACCTTCTGCGAATCCTCGACCTGCATCTTCTCTGGAATCAGGTCCTGTACCAGTAAAACCAGGGCCGCTTTCAGAATAATCAGGTCCTCCACCACTATAACCAGGGGCACCTGTATCATCGTAACCTGTTACGCCTGGACCTTCAGCATAGTCTAAACTTGCTCCAGCATAACTAGGAGCACCCTCTGAATAATCTGAACCTGCGGCAGCATAATCAACAGCGTCTTCGGAAAAACCTGCACCTGCTGCGTCGTCGGCGTAACCAACCCTATCTCCAAGAACGCTTCCATCTGCTTCTGATATTAAATCTCTTTCAACTTCGGCTAGTGGTCCACCGGCGGTTTCAATTAATTCTTTGTCAGGAACAAAATCTGAAGGAAATCCGCCATCAGCAATGTAGTCTGATGGAAAACCTAACAAGTCTTCTTGAATTAGATTTCTGACTTCCTCTTCTAGTTCTGCCAATTCACCTGTCGGACCACCTGTAAATTGGTCAAATCCATACTCTCCAATTTCTTCTCCTTCTTCATCGAATTCTCCTAAAAGTTCGATTATAGCACCGGATTCTAGTTCTTCTTCCAGCTCTATTCCTTTAAGTTTATCAAGTAACTTTCCACCGCCTTCTCCAAAACCTTCGCAAACTAATTCGATTCCTCTTATTACTTTAATGGGTTTATCTTCGGCTTCAAGTGCATCGAGAGAATTTGTAGTACAGGCATCCCTTTTTCTCGATAAAATTTGTTTGATTCTTTCCTCTCTCAGTTTAGCTTTTTTTAAATCTTCTTCACACGTGCAACAATTGGAGCAAATGCATATCTTACTATTTCTAGATGGTTCCGTTTTGGAAAGCGCTTCTTCTTCTTTTCTTATAGCTTCCATTCGTTTTTCTACTTCTTCCAAGTCTACTTCCGTAAAATTCGCCATCTCCATAAGAGTTTCGCTAACCCTTCTTGCTAACATACACAAACTAGCATTGTCGTCAAAGTACTTCTTGTTTTTCAGGAGTTCTTCTCTTAATTTGGCAATAGTATGTGTCTCGTCTAGCTTTTGATCGATGAAGGTTTTCGTAACGTTGTTGCTTTTGTCCTTTAGGAGACACATTTCTTTTCTAAGCTCGCTATTAACACTTTCCAAACCACGCATACTTTGAATAGTAGATGCCAATTGAAATTTTAGATTGTTTAATTCTTGAGCATACTTTTCTGATTTGTCATGTCTTTCTTTACACTGCGCTAATTCACATTTCGATAGTGCGTTTTTGCCATCCGACTTATCGCATTTATGTTTTGTCTTTTCGTTTCGTGTCTTGTTGCATTTTTGAAAATTCAAGCAGTTGTCTTCATACGTTGAACTATTTAATTCTTTATCTGTAATATTTAGACGCTTTCTTGAACATTGGAAATTTGCCGAGATTAGAGGCAATGAAGGAACTTTATTCCGTATGGCGTACTTCAAATGTGAGAGAACTTGTAAAGGACTTTGATTATTTTGTTTAGAATTAACGTTTTCGTCTTTAGTCGGTAATAAATTTAAATTGTGCAGATGTATTGACGGTTGATTATTACTGGTATTTTGTTCTATCTGAAATTGCAAACGAAGCGCTTGTTCCTGTTTTTTAAGTAAAAAGTTTCTCTCTTCATATTTACGCAATAAAGTTTTCCACTGCGTTCCCTTTTCTGTCCTGTTATCGTCTTGTATACGAAGATTTTTCATTTTCTAAACAAAAGGTAAAATTCGCGCCAAGAATTTTAGTTTTCAAAACCGAAATCGAGATCGTTCAATATCTGTCATTCAATTTTGACAAAAACATTATTTTTGGAAGCTCTTTTGTTTTCGCTTTTAGGGGTTTAGGGAACATGATATAAGTTGCATATAAAAAGGCCTTTCTTTTAGTACGTAATAAAGACAGACAAATTACCTTTTAAATATAGGGGTGTATTTATAAAAGCTGTAGTATGTGTTGGAGACAAAAATAAAAGAGAAAAACATTTGATATTTTAGTCTTCGCAGCATTCACTGAGTGGACAAGGTTCGCCAATAAATTCATTGCAGAGCTCATCATTATGATCGCCGGAAATTTGCTTCGAGATGCCATTTTTGTCACCTTTCGAATTTTGAAATAGTTTTTTCAAACAACAGCATTTACTCGAACTTTTTCCACAAGTTCGTAAGGTGCGAAATTTATGCGTTTTGCAGCTGCATTCATCAACATCTCCGTTGCAGCTTTTAAAAGAAGACGATGACTTTTTATCGCAAAGGGAGCAACCTGGTTGCGTGGCTTTCACCTGATTTCCTTTTACTTTAGCTTCGTGTTTTGCAATTCTCTCTTTAAAGCATTTTATTTCGCCTTCTAAAATTTCGTTTGTCATTTTCTGTTTACAAATAATATTTTCCCACATTTCGCCTTGCTTTATTTTCTTCTTTTGATCTTTTGTGGGGCAGTCACCCATTTTTGATTAGATAAAAGTTGAAAAAACTATGTTTCTTGTCTATTTCAGTTTTGGGTTTTAAACAAGAATTTTGAAAATCATGATATTTGACAAAATTTTATATAATGCATAGCACTCTAATTAATCAATAGTATCTTTTTTTTATATGCATGAATTTTTAAACATATTTCGTTATCATCACAACTTTGTTATTAGTAATGGCGGAATAAACTGATATGAATTCATTTCGGATGCTCACAAAACGAATGCATCTTATCCTCAATGTCAATATTACTATTATTATTAAGTGTCATTCATTTGTCAATTTAAGTGTCATTTTCATTTTATAGCCATTTTTAATTAGTTAAACGTCATATCACCGATTAATGAAATATGCTGATGTGTTTCTTTCTAATATTTACTTTTACGGGCTTTAAAAAACAGTGAGAATAAAATGTATTTTTGTCTAAGTAAAGTTGTTCTTTGATTGTGTCAGGTATCTGTTCATTGTCATGTAAATTAAAAAGGTAACTGATACATAACGAAGTTCTTATGTGCTGTTTTTGCCTAGTGACCTACAAAAATGAAAAAGTTATTTTCAAAAATTGAAACAAAAATTGATAACACCTCAAAAGAAACAAATAATGTAATTGGGAAGATATTTACTGTAGGAAGAAATACAGTTACTGTTGAAGAAGTGCTAGCAGAAGGTATTAATTGTTAATGGTTTTTTTTTCTTTAGTGTGGATTTAAATTCAATTTTCAGGTGGTTTTGCTATTGTATATTTAGTAAAATCGAGTAGCGGAGTCCGATATGCTTTAAAACGAATGTATGTCAATAATGAGCAAGACTTAAATGTTGCAAAACGTGAAATACAAATAACTGTAAGTTATCTCCTTTGAAATATGCTTTTATGTCACAATTTAAATTTTTAGAGTAATTTAAGTGGCCATAAAAATATAATTGGCTATGTAGACTCAAGTATTACTGAAATGGGTGGAGGAGTATATGAAGTTTTGCTGTTGATGCCTTATTGTCAAAATAATGTATTGGGACTTATGAAAGCCAAAGGAAAAGCAACATTTACAGAACAAGAAGTGCTGTCTATTTTTTGTGATACCTGTGAGGCAGTTTCTCGATTGCATCATTGTCAGACACCTATTATGCATAGAGACTTGAAAGTAAAATGTTTAAAAAGTATTTTTAATCATGTATAACGTTACTTTTAACTTATTTGAATTGTAGGTAGAAAATATATTAGTTGGTGAGAATGGTAATTATGTAATATGTGATTTTGGTTCAGCTACAGGTCGTGTACTAAACCCCTCTAGCCATGGAGTAACTGCTGTTGAAGATGAAATTAAAAGGTATACAACTCTCAGCTATAGGGCACCAGAGATGGTTGATATGTATTGTGGTAAACCTATTACAACAAAATCTGATATTTGGGTATGTTAGACTTTAAACCATAAAAAGGTTTATCCCATTCTAAAAAGTGAATAATGCTTGCAGGCTTTAGGTTGCTTACTTTATAAACTATGTTTCTTTACATTGCCATTTGGTGAAAGCATGCTAGCTATCCAAAGTGGAAATTTTTGCATTCCTGATCATTCGCAGTATTCAAAGGGTTTACATCAATTAATTCGTAAGTTGTTTTAATTTTCCAATATATTTTATCAGTTATGTATAATTTACTTTCTTTAGGTTACATGTTAGAGCCTGATTGTGACAAAAGGCCTGACATATACCAAGTTTCTAGTATTTCATTCCAGTTGTTAGGGAGAGATAATCCAGTACAAAATCTGCATGTGAGTACATATGTAGTTTCTCTTTTAACATACTTCAATAATATATCATCGTTCGTGTTTTTAGTAATATGATAACGGAAAATATAAACCGAACATACGTGCCACTTAAATATGAAATTTTATGTACATGCATATTGTTTATCTACAATTCTGCGTCATTTGAAAAAAAATCTTTTATAACAATTTATTCTCTGTAATGATGCTAAAGGAGGAAAGAAAGGCACAGTTTCGGCTTTTTTAAGTTATTCATATTTTGTCAGAATAATAATGCCTAAATAATTGATTGGCAGTATAAACTGAGCTTTTCATGGATCTAAACATTCAAACGTGTGGTGCTGAAAGTACTATGATAAAATTGTTTTGATAAAGCTGGTACCATTTTTCAATAATTAAGATTGAGAAATAAATGCGGACTGATACGAGTTGGAGTGTAGTGATATAAATTCAACACTTTTTTTACATTATGAATCTAGACTTAATGCAACTTTCATAGTATATATATATATTTGTTAATTGTCTACATTTATATTTATCATTAACGCATTTTCTTAGCTTTAGTTCCTCTTTATTACTATAAAAGTGAATGTTTTATTGATTCATCTCTGATACTCCATTCTCATTTCACTATTATAATTTTGATGTTAAAAAAAGCAAAAATCGGTTTTAATGTTTTTTTTTCTTATTTACAGAGCGTCCCTACACCGTCTTTAGACGACTTACCAATTCCATTGTATGAGTCAGAATCTAAGAAGATATCTATTTCTCAGGCAAGGACGCCTAGCAAAGTTTCAGCCCCTGTCCTTGTGGAGGGCACTAGTGTAATGCCACGTCAAAGGCCGAAAGGCAGTAGTGGTACCACGCCCCTAAATATCCCTCTGACAATTAATCCGAGTCCTACCAACGTTAAAAAGTCGCAGAGTCCTGTGATACCTAGTGATAGTTTTCATTCTGCCAAAGTTAAGACCAGCAACTTCTCAAATAGTTCTGCCTTTCCTCCACCTCCACCTCCATTGCAAGATACTGAAAATTTTAATGTTGTCACCTTTCCAAGTGGAACTATTCAACCGTTTGCAGAAAAACAATTGGATAACTTGTTTCAGTCTTCTATGTATCCCGATCCTTTCGTAGACGAAGGAAGTTACTCCGAAGTGTCTGTTTACAGGGTAGAAAATAAAGAAATTACGGGAGTGAAGGTTGTTTCTCCTGTTGGAACTGAAACGGCTACTCTATTGGGTGCAAGGAGTTATGGAATTTCGCAGGTAAAAGCGGGTTTGGCAGAGTCTACCAGCCAGTGTACTGTTGCATCAAAAGGAAGTCCTCCAGATTCACCCACCTTATCTGTACCCAAAGGACATCGAAGAAATATGAGCGACACGACGGCTTTTAACAAGTACGTTTTTTTTTTTATAATTATGTTTAGCTTAATTTTTGTGTTAAAACTTCTTTTCTAAAGATATTACAAATTTTTAGATAATAACCAATAAATATTTTTTTGTCATTCCATTAGAGTTTATGCTACCGAAACGTCTCAGTTTTTGGCCCCATTTGAGTCGTCTATAAAGCCTAAAAGTAGTACTTCTTCCGATTCATCTGAGGACGTTCATAAGGTGCCCTATCAGCCCGGTTGTTCAACATCGAACGTAGACATTTCACATTCCGTTGGACCTGACAATAGGTCTTTGTCAGCAGATGTGGCCGATTGGAATCCTTTCGAGGAGCCTCCGTTTAGCAAAATGACTGAAGACCACATTTTCGGACAGGAATTCGACAAAATAAGAAAAGGCAGCCAAACAAGTGAGTCGTTTGGTCAACTAGCAATAGCAGTAATAGCATTTTGTCTGGACAATTAGGTTCCGTTTATAGTTAACTTTAGTCATTAATAAAATCATTGTTGAAGTTATACTTATTTTGTTGGAAATATTTAACTTATTTTGAAATTTCAGGTATTCAAGGGGTGAAGTCTCGTGAAAGCTTGGTAATGTCGATCTCCGAAGATCCTTTTAGTTCTGCCCCTTTCAGTTTTCCGGTGAAGTCCCGCGATCGCGGGAAAACAATCTTACAATCCTCAGGTAATTCCGATTAAAAATTAACATACAGTAGGAATATTTCAATTTAGGAAAGAAAATGTTATTAATAACAATATGAACGGCGATAACTGATTTCCACATCTGTCTCTGTGGTCTCCCATTTTTGTGATAGAAACATAAGTATAATCACGATGGGGTCTAATTAAATTATTGATAAAAAAAGTAAATACACCTAACTATTCAGCTCCAAAGATGCATCACTTAATAATTAATAAATTAGCTTATATTCTTAGTCACATTATTATTTGAACTATTAGTAAATTACTATATCGTTACTGTATATTAAGATTTTGACATTAGACAATATCGGTGTTGCGTAAGAAAGGACGAACGACTCTCTTTCACTGTCTTTATAGTCTACATTTATTCCTTCTCTCTCTTTCTGTCTGATTACTGTTATTTCAACTAGGAAAAATTGAAAGTCGAGGTAACTGGCTGACTGTCTTTTCTTTTATTAATGCTAGATACATTTACCTTCAGGCTTCTAGATTGTGTTTGGTTATTTCTTTTCATAGACTGCTGTTTAAATTTTGATAATGTCTGTTTTTGTTTGTTAATGAAACGTCTTACACATTACAATCTGGAAGCCAGCACAAGAACTGCGAACTTTGGCCGTGAGAGCCTGCGAGCTGATGCTTTGAATTATTAATTAGTTAATATTTGTCGACTTTCAGAATTTATTAGTTTTTGTAAAAACAGTGCGAGTATGCTTGCAAATTATTTTTTATATAAACCATGTTTAGCTTTCACAAATTCAAATCAAATCTGATATTGCTTATGTCAAAAAAGGGAAAAAGTGATAAAAATCGAGGAGTTGTAGGCTGCAGTTGTTATAATGATAAACAATATGAAAGTATTAAGTAATAAATACCATTCAGAGCAAAACAAATAAAAAGACTTTTTATTGGTTCGGTTTTTATTTTGAAATAAAAATTTTTTGATAGCTTTTTATCAAGTTGTAAGAATGTATAAACTTTGCAATGGCATACTGGTCTAATTGTAACGCTCAAGTAAGTCTAAGAATGTTCTCTTTTATGAGAAAGCAATATATTTTTTTGTTGTTCTTTAAAATTATTTCATTAATGTAGTCGAAGGTAACGAAGGAGGAAAAGCTTGAAATTTTACTAAAGCATTTCAATGGCTCTGTTAATCAGTAAGATTATGAATATGGTTTATTTACTTACAGTTAGATGAATTATTTGCAGCAATTATGAACAAAAGCTTTTTTCATGAATTTAGGTTTTATTACAATATTATAGACAAAAATAAGATATAATTTAATTATTGTTCTGCAATTGATGGTATTTCTGATAATTTTTTAGTTTGTTTCGAAACTAATATTAGTAAAACTATAATTGGTTAAATATGTATTGCAGTGTCTCTCTTCACGACAGGTGATTTAATTGTTTTGTAAAATGAGGCTTCACGTTTTAGTCATTTTGTACAAATTATTTTAAAGCATATTATTTGCTAATCATTCATAAGTAATAAGCCCCTAATATTTTAATTGATTATTTTTCACTTTACTACATTTTTAATATTTTTAGTGTTTTAAAATAAACCGTTTATTGTAGTCAAACTAATAAAAAACTGTTTTTCATTACTTTTTGGGCCTAAAAAAGAAGAAAATGTATACAATATAAATAAAAAACCGAGTTTAATAGTAGTCGTCAATAATGTGTAAAATCTAAACTTGGTAATAAGCAAAATATTCATAAAAATATTAGAGTTGAGTATTGATTGAAGTGATATCACATATTTAGTAGGTCCTAATGTTTTTTTATGAAAATTAATTTTTATACAACAGATACGAAATCATTTAATTTATGTTGTAAATAATATTTATTTCAAAACCTATTCAGAAAAAGTATCTCTTCAGGGCCAATTGTAGGCAGCATCAGTTGAATAGCACACGTTTTTCTTTCCCTAATAATTTTTGTAACGTGTTTCCGTCACATATACGAGCGATAAGATGCTACACATTAAAAAAAAAATGCGACAAATATAGGGCTAACTTGGAACTGTGATATTAATGTGTATCTACAATTATTGCTAATTACTACCAAAAATTACCATCTACTGAACTTGTGATTATAACAAAACACTCTTTTTGTTTTAAATTAAAAATATGCTCTTTCACTGATGTAGTATAATAATCAGAATGAAAAAAAAAACTAGTCTTTATTTTGTTCTTTTTCTAGATTTTTTCCCTATTTATTACGGGGCCATTTTCATTTTGTGGAAATTGTTTGTAATTTTTTTTATACTTCGTTATTGTTTATTTTCTTGGAATTACAACTCACATTATTAGTCAGAATGTTTTTGTAATTTACCATTTATAAAAAAAAAAAACAGAAAATGGTCCAGTTTTGCATGTGTATATTAAGAATGTGCGGAAATTCGTTTATTAATTGTTGGTTGATGTGTTTAAGTAGTACATACTGGAACAGCAATTTTAGTAAATCTTTTTATTATTTAATTTTACGTGTTCCTTTTAAATTGTTTAAAAATTTAATTTATCTGCCTGTTTCCATTTGAGTTTTTTTTATTTCTTCTCACACTATCATGAGGCAATTAATCAAGCTTTTGTAACCGAACTAAAATTAACATAATAAGTCGTCAACTAACTCTGTCTCTCTCTTTTCCTCTGTGCTTGAACCCATTTCCAAGTGAATTGTAACTTTGCCAAATTTGCAGGCTTTCTACGCAGTTAGTTTAACGATTGTTTGCTAGAAGTGATTTATAATTGTAACTTTTATTGTAATAATTATATTATTATTAATATAAATAATATCTCTAATATTGTATAAACTGCTGTAAAGATGTGCAGTAATAAAATTCTTATTTACTTACTGAAAAACGGCGCTATTTTCTTAACACCTTTCCTTAAGCGCACAGTTTGTTTTTATCTTTTGCTTTTCACTAAAGATTTCTAAAAATGGCTGTTCCAGAATAGTAAAAAATAAAATTAGCGTACATATACCTACTTAGATTATCATTGGGGCTTTACGTATTTGTATATAGATTTTGTATTATTAAAATAGAAAAGCATTAGATAAACAGCAACTGGCAACTGATAACATGTGAATTCGAAAAAGAAAAATGAAGCGGCATACCTAACTGCTGGGTACAGGGATTTGTAAGTCTTATACAGAAATTAAAATTACAGTTTTTTGCAGCAATAAAGAAGTTGGTGTCAAATTGTAATCAAGATCAAACTGGAAAAAAAGTATTTAAAGCAGTATCCTACGTACTGGATGGTACAGTGCCACTGTTGGATTCTGTTGAACCAGCACTAGAACCAGTGACTACTTCGGTAACTTTTCTTAGGGCACCCATAGAAGACCGGTCGAAATACGAGAAATTGTTACAGAATGATTGCGATGTCACATCCGGAGACACTTCAGATGAAGAAACGAAAATCAAACAGGAAAAAATTAAAAAGAAACGCTACATCAAGAATCTCCCCGAAAAGCTCCACATGGTTTATAAAAACGTTGAAATCGCAAAGATTCGGCATATTAAGGATTCCAATCAAAAGAACACCAAAGAGGGAAAAGCGTCGAATAAGGGTAATCTTCAATTTCAAGAAACCCGAGAAACGAAAGTGGATTCTGACGATTCAATAGGTTCTGCGAGTGATTTGCGTATTGATGAAGATACTGCCGATCCCGCCCCTGATCAAACAGATGGTGTTAGTGAGACCATAAGTGAAAGTATAAAGACTTGCGGATCCTCAGCTTATCATGCCGAATGTGAAAGTATGGCTACCCATGAAGAAGATGCAAGAAGTAGAATGGTACGAATTAAAGAGCATCATGAGAAAGAAGAACAAGAAGAAAATCAAATAGAAGACGCTCATTTTATAGGACATCAATACGGGGAAAAACCGTTGCTTTTAGACGATGAGTTGGATTCTGAATGTGATAATAAAGTGGCAACATTGTGGCCAGAGAAAACGTCTAAACCAGAAGACTTATGGATAGAACCAAAAAGTAGTTTCGAAGATTCAGATGACGTTTTTTCTTCCGCTCCATTTAATAAAAACGCCTATAAATTGAAAGAAAAAAGAAAGGCTGATTTAGATCAAAAGAAAACACTCGATAAACCAATTGATGTTTCTTGTAACGTTGTTCAGAACAATAATGTTCTTAATGAACCTGTTACAATTGAACGTGTTCCTCAGTCCACTCCTGTAAAAACTATTAACAACGGTGTGGTACGTAGTCTACCTAAAGCGCATTCAAATCCATTTCTGGATACTCACTTTTTTCAAAATTCAATGAAAACTAGCAGTTCCAATTTTGAAAGAGGATTTTACGCTCACGGTAATGAAGCATCCCATGTCAATGTATACTCTAACGATATCACCCAACAACAATGTATATCGAACGATAACAGCAATTTTTTTAATCTTTCAAAGAACGCGGATTTCAGTTCTGAATTAACTTTACAATCGTTTGAGTTTAGCCGTCCAAAACAAATTGAAAATTTATCTAATATTTCAACAGAATACCAATTTTCAAGTTTAAATAACTCACATTCATTGGGTGCGATTGCGGATATGATAAATTCAAGTCAATTTTCTTCATATGATATAAATAATGATAATTCCCCCGATCAGTACAGTGACCATCCAATCATAAAGGTTTCTGAAGTTCAAAAGAACAAGAAACATGGACGAAAAGAGTCAAAATATCATCTTATTGATAAGCTCAATTCTGATGACAGTTCTGGTTTGGAGTTGGGAAAAAATAAGAATCACAAAAATGCTGTTCATAAGAAGAGCGGCAAAAGCAAGAAAATAAGTAGCAAAATAAAATTGCAGGCTGGATTTAGTAACAAGAGTTTCGAAGATTATCCTTCAGATGAAGGAGAGGTCAGATATACAACAATTCCTTTCGAAGTTTTAAGAAATTCCAGTCAGAATGATAAGAAAAGTAATAGTTTAAAAAGGGTCAATAATCCATTTTCATGAAGAAGGCTTCCTTATTTTAAATCGGAAATAGAGTTTGGAAGAATTTGATATCTTAATACTTTTATACACGAATGAATGGAAATTTTTGGAACGGTATAAAGATTATCGTACAGGGAATTTAATCTTTAATAATTAAAAACATAACGATAGAGAAGGATCTAGTGCCTAAATATTTCTTAATAGATTCAGTATTATGCACAGATGGTTTGTTTTAAATTAAAGCAACATACAGAAAGATTACTTATAATTCGCGTTTTAAAATTTTTGAAAGAGAATTAATTTTTTATTATGGTTACAATTTTTTTTTTTAATTTTATTTTCTTTAACAGTTTAACTGCAACTGAACTGAAGTTTGTAATTTTGGTTGTTTTTAAAAACACATTCAACACAGTTTAAGTAGTAAATAATTTTAAGTTTTAATTTCCAAGGTATTAAATAAAAAATGCTTGTAATAAACTGAGCAGTAGACTGATTTTTTACACCCTCATATAATCTTAAAAGAAGACATAAGTTTTGAAGGAATTCCTTTTTTATTCAAATTTATCATTTCTTTTCGGTCTTTTTACATGTTATTTTTCTTTTTCATATTATTACCTAATGTGATTCATATCGCAGCTATTAGAAGTTAAATTAGATCTGATATACACATTAATAGAGTAGTTTTAATAATTGTGATTATATGTATCAGTTTCTTTACTAGCACAGGATATTTCCTTTTTTTATAAATATTACTTTTTAACTTTTTTTTGTAAATGTTTTACTGTAAATTTTCATAGAACTGTAAATGCATTTTGTTGCAGGTATTTATTTTTTTTGCATGCAATTATTGCTGCGCAGAATATTGTATAAAATCATTTTAACGTAGATTCGTTATTTATCCTTATTTTGAGTTGTATTCTTGCTCGATAAGAAGTAATACTGTTAAAATGTTATTTTTCTCTTTGGTGCTGTTTGTAGATAGATCAGGAATTAAATTATGACATCGAAAGAACAGCTTAACACTTATTATAGGTGTAGAATATAGACTGAAATATGCGATTTAATTGATAATTTATTATTTTCAGTTGTTCATTCAAAGTATTTATAAAAATGTACATTGTAAACATTCCTTTATAATATTTAATTAATAGGCAATATTTTTTTGCACTTGTGTATTTATAATGCCAATATGTAATTTTATAGAAAAATATATTTTGTTGGTTACCAGTTAATAATTTATTTTACTGTTTAAACACTAATTCGTTTTCTATTTTTATTTTTTAACAAAAAAAATCACTACGACTAATTTGATATTTGAAAAAGAATAAGTGTGATTGCCGTATAGCTCTGTACGGGTGCGAAATGATAATACAGCGGATAAAGAGGGTTAGAAATGAGGAGGTAGTAGAAAGGGTAAGAGAATAAAGAGTGCTATGGAATAAAGAATATAAGTGATAGGATGGTAGGACACCTGAGACATAAAGGGTTATTTAGAGACATAATAAGCAACAACAGGAGTATATAGACACAAGAAACCTAAACTAGGGTGCTGTTAGCAATTACAGGTGTGGGATATTTCAGTAAGGTTAGCTCAAGGTAGGAATAAGTGGACGAGTGTGCCCAACTAGTCTTCGGATGATCTTGTGATGATTGTCATTATATATTCATGGCGAATATAAAATTCAAATTAACTTCATTTTACTTATACGATTTAAAAAAGTCCATAAAGCCTAATTTTTTTAATACTTTAAAATCAAGGATAAAAATCTTATTATAAACAGTACAACTAATTATTAGTTTTTAACTCCTAAAAATTATTGCGTGAAAAGTACGGTGAAATTTTAGTCTTGCAAGATTACAAAAATATGAACTTAACCATTATACAATTGCCTAATTATCAACAAAACAATTAACTTACGAGAAATTTAAATACTATAAAAATTCTAAATATTAATATGAATTTCTCTTATGAATAGTTATTTTTTATGGTCCAAAAGGAACCTACGTAAAAGTCATTTTCAAATATATAAAAATATCGTTTTGGTCATCTTTGTAGGTGCATATTTTGTATACAGGGTGTTTACATTTAATCATATTACTTCTATGTGTCTTTTTTCTACTTCTTTAGATCTTAAATTGGTATTGGTGTGGTTTTTATTTTTTTTTAATCACTGTACTGTTCTTAAATTTATTAGAAATAATAAAAACAACCTGTATACTTTAAAGGCATTACTCTTCACAACCTTAATTAGTAAAAATGTTCTCTTTCATATGTAAAAGAGAAGGTAACGGTTTTGTTCTATCAATTAATAAGCTTACATTAAATTTAAATAATTATTAAATAAAAATGTTATTCCACAAAATAAGTAACTACAGCATGGTAAAGGGCCTAGTATGGGTGATTTGTACCTACAGTTACAACAAAAGGCATTACCAGCTGTATGGCCATTTATAAATAGACAAATGTGAAAATTTGTACTCTTCAGAAGTTGCTACTGTACAAGTTTTAAGTTACTCTTGTTGTCTGGCAAGTCCTATATTAATAAGAGAACTAATTAGAAACAATACCCATGTACTGCATGATGCTATCAGTCCCAAAGTTAAATCTAAACCTGTATCAATGTAACCTTGTCTGTATGAAGTTACAGAGTCGGGTTGTATGTAATCCATGAAATCAAAAATTGCATTACAGGAAAGTCGTCCATGAATCACTGGCAAGATTGTTCCACCAAATCCAACAATTTTCTCTACCATCAGTCGATATTGCTTGCACGTTGACAAATACCCATCAAGAAAAATGGCAAAATGAATTAAAGTGTACAAAGTCAATATGGCAGTAAAAGCAGAAGTAATAATCCAAAATGTTCTTGGCAGTGGGCTGGTATCATCTTTATGAATTGCATGAATTTCAACTATTTCTCCTTCCCTTTATAAGAACAAATTTAAATTAATCATAAAGTAGGCAAACCACATCTAGATTATGTAAAAACCATAACTTACGCATTTCTGCTAGGAATAGTTCTTGTGACATTATTTTTTGAAGCAAATATTACTCGATACCCATGAAAACATGCTAAACCAATTATAAATAACAAGTAAAATAACGGCCCAAACGTGACCCAGATGCAAGGTGCTAAATCTCCCCCTAAAGTAAGTTTGAGTAAGTAGAACATTAGCATTAAAGTCTGAAATGTTACCTAAGAAGTGGGTAGGAGTGTGATAACCATATAAAATACAACTACAGTTCCGCCCAATACATTGATCCAGGGTCTGTTTCCAGTGGCCCCATGCTATTCCGGTCGTTATACTGGAAGATGCACTAAATACTGCAATAAAAATATATAGAATATATAATTTGCTCTCCGCTACTCGTTGTTCCATTATTCTTTTATTAAAAGTACAACTTATAAATTAACTTCAATTTCATTAAAATTCTCTTAGATAAGAATTACAACAAAATAAACAATTAAACTATTAAAACAACGAACAACAGGTGTCTACAGGAACGACGTGTAAACAACATAATCATTAATCACATCGATATTATTATTATTACGAAGTACCTGTAGACCATGAGTAAATTAGTAACGGCTATTTTTCTGTGACTAATAAGGTCTGATATTGCCACATAATAACTGCAACTATTAAAATTATTTAACATGTAGCAAATGATTCAGAAATAAACAGTGATATTAAAAGTTACCTCCAATAAAATACCTAATGTATGTATACTTGATATATTGTAAGAAAAGAAACTTGGTATAATACTACAAATTAACTGTAATGTGGAGTATCCTATGTCTATACATTCCCATCCTTCATAAAAACTGTTATTGTAAGTTTTAAAAATATTCTTAATTTTTTTAAAATTATTAAAAAGAAGTTTTCGTTTTATTTTTTTTTTCAGAATTTAAAACTCTAGGAGGTAATACTGATGTTTCAGCTTTTGTGTGATAGGTGGCGACTTATTGATGTAAATCGTTGAAGCAGCAATAGTTTTACGGCGTGCGCACAGCTGAGCTCTGGCTGGGGAGCGCTAGTTGCTCCATCTTGAGTAGATTATAGCTTGTGAACCGTGCGTGTATATTGTTTGTGCGACCAATTATCCGATGTTTATAATTTGAGGTGTATAGAATTATTTCAAGAAATGTCTTCGAATAATCAGAAGCTATCGACCACACAACGCATGATACAAGGTCAGTGGCGTGTTATTATGATTTAGACAGCCCGAACCCTCGCGCATTTTAGTGCGGAATTGATTTTCTAGGCGCCATGACTATTGATTTTGGAAATATTAACCAAATTTAGCGGCAAAAGCCAAAAAATTTAAAATATCGCCCTCCTGCTGAAGGCGAAAACCCTACAGGTTTTTTTATTTGACTGGCAAGTCGGTGCTACCAGCGGACACTTGGCAATATCAAATGGGTTCACTAATACATGCGGCTGCTCTTGATTTGGCTGCTTCTATTTAAATGTTTACATCGTCTCCCATCTGCAAACACCTTAAGAACCCGTTGTGAATAATTAAATTCTATTCTTAACTATTTAGTTGTGCTCTATGCGCATAACTCGTTGATGTTTAAAACAGGTGTTAAGTCCGTAGACATATTTTTGTTTTCCCTGGGAAAATACACCCTACTTTCTGAAGGGTCACTGCTTTTCCTTGCTTTCATTGACGCAGTCCTATATCTTTAATTATTAATTCTTAAAGTGTTGATATTGAAACAACTATTTAGTTATTAGCTGTTTAATATTCAATACTTGGATAAAATTCTTTTCATAGTAATCAATGACATACGAAAGCATGGCTTGTCGCATATTTTAATTAATTCTTTTAACATTTACAAAGTTTTGTAAGTATTGTGTACTTTATCATAATACAATGCTTATACGAAAACTTTCATTGATATTCAAAACTATCAGAGGTACCTTTATACGTAGGTAGATACCTAAACGCTGACAACAACGGAATGATGATTTTAAGTTAAATTATTAGGCCCAATTAGTTTTAAATTTTGATTTAATTTTACCTTATATTTGTACCTATCCATGTTTATCTGCGCAAGTGACATGTAAATTTTAATTAAACTTAATAATGAAGGTATTAAAATTTGGAAGTACCTACTTCATATAGGTATAAAAAATTCGTAATACATAGATCTTAGAAAGAAATAAATGCCTAGATACCTATTCATCCTTATGTAGTGCCATAAGATTTATCATCTATTTTTGGAACTCTTATGCTGTTTGGTTTGAGTTGTCTAAAGTACATAATAATGAACTAAATTTCTGTTATCTTCATACCTACTTCAATCCCAATCAAAAGAGTTTACATTTAAATAGTAACACATTGTTTTAAATATCTCTGTGTGCAAAACTTCCTACTTATTTATAAATAAGCAGACAGTCGTTGTTTTTCTCGTTTATTTTTTTATTAAATTTTTTTGGCAAAATACCATGTATACCTATAATGAAAATTAGAAAAACATTATTTTTACATGGATTTAAATATCTCCTTATTAAAAGGTGAATACTTTGCTTGTGCTTTTCTTTATGGTAAGATTGACGATGGTACGTATGTATGTACCTGCTAGTTCTTGTATACGCATTACCATAATCAATGAAATTTGTTTTCAATATTTGGGCGTTTTCCGTAAAACCTTTTACACCTGTAAAATAATTCGAAATGTTGTTTATCAATATTTGATTTGACTTTGGTTTCTACTCTGACCTTCGCATACATTCAAGGAATTTGGTACGACCTTTGAATTATTAATGTGCGTTCAATTTTCTCAATTAATAAAAAAAGACGCGGCTTGTAAATCAATCTCATTAATGACATTTGAAATGAGAAGTGTCGATACAATTTTAATATATGGATCGACAAAATCAACATTCTGTCGAAATAGAATTAGACTATTTAAAGTATGTGCATAATACGTAATAATTTATTATTTGTTTACTTACGTATTTTGGGTGATTTTGAAATTTTCGTTTACTTTCATTATACAACAAAAATTGCATTTATTAATTTAACTAGTTCTTCCCCCTGCCCCCGGCCATTTTTATTGTTCCACTATGACGTAGTGTCGGCCATCATTCTTTTCTAATTGTTGCAGTTGTCGGCCATCATTCTTTTCTAATTGTTGTAGTTGTCGGCCATCATTCTTTTCTAATTGTTGCAGTTGTCGGCCATCATTATTTTGTAATTGTTGCAGTTGTCGGCCATCATTTTTTTCAATTGTTGTCGCATTGTTACTGTTGTCGGCCATTATAGTTTTTTAATAGATGTATAGTAATCAGTGATTAAAGTCTAAAGGAATTGTTTGTAAATAGGTATGTAACACATCGTACATTTCAGCATAAGAAATTGCTGATACTAACTTTCATTTACGTAATACTACTTTGCCTTGTGCTGATAGCACTCATATTTTTTTTATATATAACATTATTCTTTTGTTTCTTCTCATCGTCAAGAAAGTTGGTCAGTAAAAAAGGGAAAGGTTTTTTGTTTATTTTGATTACACATACATATATATAATAAATTTCTTCATTGACATTTTTCAGTAAATAACGCTATTATTAGTTTAAGTCTTTAATTACTATTGACAATTTTTTGTGTCATTATTAAAATTTTAAAAGTAATACAGGCAAATTGTTAATAATTGGATTATATCATTAACTACTTGTGCTTATTCAGTTCTTACTAGTATGTAGTTTAAATTATCAGTTATAATGATTATAGTAAGCATAATATACTACAAAATTATGCCATACGTAATTATGGCGTGTTTTACACATTAGATGATACTATGACGTTAAATGATAGATAAGACAACGACTGTTTGGTTTTACAAAAGTATACACTACAGATAATACTCTTTTAAGGAGATTTATCTGGGATAAAGTGTGCAAGGAAAAAAATTAATGTTTATTTAGATATTCAAATATTTCTTTATAATTTGATTTGAATATCCAAATTATCCGATATTTGAATATTTATAAATAAACCTACAAGTACCTACTTATTTCAACAATCAAATATTCAATAAATCAAATACATATATGAAATATATTTAATCAAATATTTATGTGGAATATTGATATATGATCGTTTGAACAGTCAATATTAAAAAAAATTGAATATTACAATATTGCTATTCTTCATGTCTTGGTTTTTCTTTTTTTATATGGTATATGATTGCGAAATTTTTGATTTTTACGTGTATTGTTCGGTTGTCACCGTATTGTTTTATACTACTAAACAATAGTTATTATCTATATCAATTCTACAACTCTTAAGTTTGAAAAACTAGCCTTGAGAAAGCGCGACAACTTAAGGCGAAACGTTGGCGATTGTTTTTGGTTTTGATTTTAAATTAATTAGAATATTGCACTTTTTGGGATCGTAAAGTTAGAAAGAAAATAAGTTTTGAAGACTTTTTTAGTAATTTTTGAGTGACTAATTATAAGTACAATTTAAGTTATGGTTGAATTTGTTGTTTATTTATCGTAGAAGAAAATGATAAGCACTCTTAATTATAAGTAGTTTAATGGATTTGCTTTCCCTTTACAAACCTTAAAACATATTTTATATTAAAAAAATACTTCTGCTTTGTTTGGTATTAGGCTATTAGCTTTTGATTCTAATGCCTCCTTTCTTCTATACATACCTCTAATTTACTTGCCATTTCTAATTATTTTTCCCATAAATTTTTTAAATAATTTACTGCTATGAAGTACCAAATTGCAATTGAATCATTGCGGTTTATATTTAGATGGGTAGTTTGTATTTAGAGACTTATTTCTTATTTAAAAAATTTTCTTATCATTATATTACGCACGACTTACTACAATTAGCGAATAATACGTTTTACTGTGAATAGAATTTTTAATTTGATAAGAGATTGCGTAGGTAAGTTTAATAGCGGAAGTAAAATATACAAATATCTAAAATATACTATTCCCTCTGCATGCCAAGAAAAGTGCATGTGTAAATTATTTTTAAGCAAAATTATCATTATCATACAAAAATTACTGTAGGATGTAAAATTTTATGTAGGTATAACGCTAATGTTTTGTTCCCTATAAAAACGTTTCCGCGTATAAGTGCTGAATCATGTGTGTTAAATTTAATCATTCCAAGTCTAGTTCAGATTTGATTTTTAAATAAACGTAAAAAGCTGTAAGTACATAATACATAGTAGGTTTATAAAATAAACGGCGAAGTTATTAGGAAATCTGTTTAAGTAATTCGAACTTTATATCACTCGAAATAATTTCTAACTCGAATATGATCTATATTACAGAGAGACAGATAAATATGAGTAACAATAGATAAATAAACGTCTATGTAATAAAAATGTTATCCTTAGTCCTTTCACCAAGATGCGCTAAATTGTGACAGAAAGCCTTATGCATTTATTATGTAGGAATTCATTGGAACTTATCGTTAAAAACTCTCTCTTTTATGGACTTTTGGGTCCAGTTTCTTCTGTACTCCCAGTGCAATTTATAATTCCGTCACGTATACCTACTGCGATTGACGGCTGATAAAGAATTTCGTCGGAAGTGGAAGTAATCACTTTTATTTCCCCTGTTAAATATTTTGAAGGAGAAACTGAAGGAATATTTTCGACGAAGCCCGTGAGTAATACCTAAAAAATTGATGATGATATTGTCTGGCGTTTGCAAAGACAAATTGTTCTTGCATGGACTTATGAATAATGACTAAAGCATTCGGACTCAATCTTGGACAGATCACGTAATTTTGTCTTGAATTGGAGGCATTTGTCAGAATTGTGAAAAATAATAAAGCAGAATTTTTTTTTTATTTTCTTTGGTTTAATCTCGATTAAAAACCTTCAATTTTTTTTTGTAAAAATTAATCCGAATAATTTTTCCCACTCACCCGTCCATATTGCCTGGACTATAATGTTCTTATATTGTAAATAGTTATACTAATTTATATCTCCCTATATTCTGTGAAGATCTAGATTCGATTACTATTCAAAAATAGTTAAAATGTGGGATGTTCAATAGTTTTAGGGATATGCTAAGATTAGCTCAGGTTAGGAAAGAGTTGCGGTGCGTGTCCAATTAGTCTTTGGACTGACGACTCTGTTATGATGATGATGATATTTTATAGGTATATCCTGTGCTTTTCATTATTGTATTCGTAATTACAATCTGGCTT